CCAAAGTATAATTTAGCACTTGATAGAAGCATAGGTTTGTGTCTACTTCAGTGAGGCCACTGCCTATCTTTTTGTTTCCTGCTCTATCCTCAGGAATGGAAACTAAATCTAGTTAGTAGTGAATTAGTATGTTGATGAGTACATATTTGTCTAAGAACAAGTAACATTAAATGTGTGATTTCAATGTTTAAACATAAAGGAGAAAATCCTCAAAATACTACTACTGTGTAAAGTAATATGAAAAAAACTCACAAGCAGAAACTGCACCAGGAATTGATTCCCACTTCTTAGCAGGGATTTGGTGGCCCCCACAGAGCAGCCATATACTGTATGATAAGGAAGGCAGACTTTGGAAGCATGGCAGGAAGAGATATGAATAACACATACCCTACTTCACAGTTCTGCATTTGTTATGCCGGACAAAAGTTTAATGGCAACATAATACCACAGCAAAAACTCTCCAAGAAATCCCTGCTCAGAACTTTAGCTCAGATCCAGGCTTGGATAGCTCTTGACATGAAATTGGCCTTTAATACATGATGATGGTCTTTTCAAATCCAAGATAAGTACATTATTTAAAAAACTTTTATCTTGTTTTATCTTTTCTTTGATCAGTAAAAGGATTTTTCTACTCTGATTTATTTTATCATTTTTCAGAACTCTTATCAATATGTATTTTAAGCAAGCATAAAGCCTACCATTTTAAGATAAATGTCCTTTTATCTTCTATTCTCAGGGTAGTACTTTAAGTATCCATCCAATTATAGAAGTTTTAAAATTTTACATATTTTAAAACTATGCAGTCTCCGTGAGTTTTTTTTTAAATTTTTATAAGGAATGTTTTCGAGAAGTAGTACATAATATATTATGCTAAGCCTAGAAAAATCTTTCAGTGATGTCCAGAACAAAGGTCATTTACAATTCTGAGAGCCTGTGACCTTTAAGTTAATTTCTTTTTTTGTTATGTGTGCAGAAAGCATACCAGATTATTCTCTTTTTTCTTCAAATATTTTCATAAATCACAGACATGATGGCTATTTAAGTAATGCAGATATTCATAATAAATATTAATATAGAAGTAATGAAATGAGGAAAATATATTTCTACAATTATTACAGCACTATTACAAACTTAACCCCTGGAGAAAATAAACCTTTCAAAATGATAGAAATTTACCAAGAGCTCAACGTGTTTTATAAAAGGTAAGAAAAATAAATGGTTGTGAAACACATATGGCACCCATACTGAAATTTTCCTATCTATCCCTGAATTAGATTGTCAATCAGAGCTAGCACAAACCTTCTTCAGGGTTTTAATTGGATTTGTTGCACCCTGTACTACACTGAGCATCACCATGCACTTGTTGAGTGCCTATGTTGGCCAGGCCATAAGCTATGTCTGCTCTGTTCTGCTGCCTTACTGTGTCCCTAGAATCACTCTTTTTGGTTGGAACACTATTGCTAGCCTTACCAGAAAACAATTCTGCTTTTCTTTGCTTCTTAAAAATCATAAACTACATTCTTGATTTTGTGTAGTCATTACACATATACTCCCTCATGTCACACAATAAATATGTAAGCACCTTTAGGAATATTAACGCTCCATGAATACTTAGAAAAAGCCTTTGCTTCCTTAATGTGTTATGAGTGGCAATGGCTGTGAGAATGAGAGTCTTATTTTTCATAGAAGTTCAATCTTTAAATCACTATAAACCTGTTCAAGCTGTTTCACCTTTCCAGACATTTGAATTTTCTCATCTGTAACATTCAGTGATGCTGTTAATATTCCAAAGTCAGTGTCCTCTAAGATCCATTTTCTCAGCCCTTTTATGTATTTATTTATTTTCATTGTCAAAGAAATCTGTATCTATTCTTCCTGGCCATTTGGTAGGTCAGGTTAAGAAAGGCAAAGAGAAGCTTAGAGAGAAGTGAGGTGGTTGGGTTTTCCCTGTTTGTTTGCTCGTTTCGCTGTTTCTCCCTACACCAGTTTATACCTGACAACCTTTTCAACATGGGATGGTCCCTCACTGAGGCTTTAGAATGCCAAATATCACCCACTGCCTCTCCTGTCCTGGGCAAAGGTTAATCATTTACACAAAAGAAAATGCTTGCAGTGATGCAAGCATCAAGCAAATAAAATACTGACTAGACGTAGGAATAAGAGAGAGAGAGAATGGCCATCACTTAGACTTAAGATGCCTGCAGGAATGAAACCAGTGGTGGCAAGAAGAAGATGGAAAATTACTAGGTCATGATTCTGATTTGCAATATCAATCTCTCTGGCTTCACTGTTTATAAAAATGTGAGCACACCATAAAACAGCCACCCTTCCCTGACATCTCTCTAATTTGTTAGCTTTATTTGAAAATCTTGAGCTTCTGGGTACAGAAATCTGTGTGGGCAAGTTTATTCCTACTGTCGCCATCCTTCCACATTTCCCTTTGTCATTAAAATAAAGGCATATATTTTACTATTTTATTGCCATCTACATTGATATACTAAAAATTATTGCTTTATATCTTACTTTGTGTAGAAACTAATGTTGGAAAAGTAAATTGTGTGGCTAATCTTGGCTTTTTGAATACTGCTTTTTGTTATGTGTTTTAGTATTTTAAAATTAAAAGACATTTCCTGCCTTCCCTTGATAGGTATCAATGACATTTTATACAAATTGTGGAATGTTATTAATATACACAGTAAGTGACTATATTTTTATTGTAATTATAAACCCTAAGATACAATTTGCAATAGTTGCCATCATAATTGACAATACATAATGATCCACATAAGTAATTACATATATCAACTTTCTTCTAATTTACTACTTTCAGAATCTCAGTTGATAGGATGCTAGGCCTAGAATCTTCTAGTCTCAGTCTTTCTTGGTGACTTGATTTTTAATTTTCTATTCTTTATCTTTGATGATAGAGTACCTCCTTGAAACTGAGAATTTGGTAACAGTTTCTGTGGAAAAAGTGTACATGTGCTATCCACTTCTCCCACTCTATTTATTTTCCCTTGAATATAGACATGATAAATGGCCAAGTTGAAAAAAGGGTAAAAATTATTCCTTTTAAAAAATGAGTTATATTTGAGGAAGAAGCATAAAAATTTTGCTTCATGTTAATTAGTAAATGTGAAAAACATTACCATTGAAATCTACCTGATGACATTATATCCTTGCTCAGGTGCCAAGGATCTCAGAAAGTAATTGCTTGTGACTAGTAATAATCAGATATATAGAGATTAGAGATACATGTGCAAACATTTAAGTGTTAGTTGCATTAAAAACACGTTTTTCTGTATGAAACAGTGTATTGTAATAATGAAATGTAGATCTTTTTTAAAAGTTAAAACCTCAGTCAAATTTATGTCTTATAGGGCTTGTACTGAGTACAATAATGTATAACTGCATTAATTCAACTTAAAAATTTACAGCCAATTTTTAAAGAGATGCGTCCTTGCTCTGGAAATTGTTATGGAATGTCAATGCTGTTGTAATGAAATGCTTCCTCTAATTATGTTTTTTTTGAATAAATAATTTTTAAAAAGGGGATAAGTAATATTCACTTTCATAGGACCAATGTATTTCATAAAACACCATGAACACCCAGTGCAGGATGTGCTCCTTAATGAACTGCAGTTCCTCACCATGGGCAAGTTGGATTTTGAGCCCTTACTAAGGATGAGGAGGCAGGTATAGCAAGACCCAGCCTTGTTTTGAAAGACTATAATAGAGATGGAAGAAGATTTGGGGCGCTGAGCCCATGGTTTTAAGAATTCTGATATGTACATTCAAATGCTGGGAGTGGAAGTTAATTCACATATATTAATGAAGTATATATATATATATATACTTCAAATTTAATTCAAACTGGTTTGAAGTAGAGATTCAGACAGAGGGAAAAGTTATGTGACATAGTTCAGACAAAGTTTCTCATAGCAACTGCACTCGACTTTGCTATGTGTCTCTAATTTTCATTGTTTCCTCCCAATACCATGAGCACAAAAAATGTTTATGCAACTCAACTGATGGGCAGTCTAAGAATTATACAAACCTCTGTAACCAAAAAAACTTTGTGCTTATCATATGTTCAGATTCATGTTGTCTTTTAACATATAGAATGTGTTTTCCCTAAATTTCTTCTCTCCCTTGAGGAACATAAGGGTTTGAATCCACTCCTCCACGCAAAACAAAGGACCCTTCACAAAGCCTCTCCCTGACTACACTGTTCTTGCTGCTCTGAGTTATCTTTTTGCTGTGCCTGGTCTGCAGGCCACCTCCTCTGGGAACATGATCCAACTGTTTCACAAATCTGCTCAAAGGGATTGGAAGGATTCACCAGTGCTGATGTCTAATCACTTTTCCTGACTTCAGCAGGGATGTTGTTGAGTTTTAGCAGAAGTTTGATATTACCTGCTAGCAATTTTCCACCCATTTTCTCACTTCGCTTGTCTTCAAATATCTTTCCTGGATTTGGAGTTGAGCCCAATGTCCTTCCCCTATTGCGGCACCTCATACCCATGACAGCATTCTTGAATACAGTCATCCCTACTTTGTAATTCATGTCAGAAAATTTTTTTTTTTTCTTTAAAATGAAGTAGCAAAGAAAGTTTTCTTTTCAAGTGTGGAAAAATTAAGACTAGAAAGCTTTAAATGGAATACATAAAATAGAAAACCATCATAAATTGTTAACTTAAATCTGATTCTAAAATCCAAAATGTTACTGAAGTGAATTCTGACACAAAACAATATATGTAGGATTCAGAGTTAAAGTAGATATGAATTAATAGAGACACACAGCAAAAATATTGGTTGATAAAGTTGGGTTCACATTAACTAAATGTAATAAAATAACAAAGTAATTTAAGAAAACATACTGCTTAATATTTTAAAGGGTCTATTTGTAGTATTAATAAAGTAGCTGAAATTAACTGTGCACTGTACATACCAATTGCCAGAAACTACATAAAGTCCACATGTGCTTTTATATTCTTTTTTAAAATATAGAACGAATCATGAATTTGCATGTCCTTGTTGTGCTGGGCCATGCTAATCATCTCTGTATCATTCCAATTTTAGTGTACATGCTGCCAAAGCTAGCACACCTTTATATTCTTAATTTTATGAAAACAATATTCTAAAACTCAGGTGTTAAGATTGCAAATGCTTGAGTGCTTATTATTTAAGCACATATAAAAATCATAGAGAAGGATCATCAATAAGATATTCAAAATATGCTAAATTATGCATGATTACTTAAAATATGCAAATTGTTGAGTAATGCAAATAGTAAACTTAAATAGAGAAAATATGTACATAAATGAATGGTATTTTGAAATTGAAGAGAATTGATGACTCTGTTGTGTACTTGTCCCCAAGGTAAATGAAATATTAATTAAGAAATGTTTTCACCGAAAAATCAAACATTGGTAAGATGGAAAATTGATGTATTTTTGCAGTTTTCAATTATAAGAATTTTATATGATATATTGGCATGTTAATTTATTTTTCAGTGGATTGCTGTGATTATAACTGGACTTTTCTCCATGATGGACAAAGGATGCTTACTGAAATTATGCAGATATTGAGAATTCTGTGGCATATATTAATCCAGAATTCATTTTTATTGTTTATTTTCTAATTATTGACAATAATGTCATATGTGAATCTTTTCTAGGATAATATATAATAAAATTAATGAAATTTCCATTTTAAAATGCTTTCAACTTACAATATATTTGTATGACTTGATTTAACCAATTATAATATGAGTTGATATTATATTTCAAAACATTTCATATTTTAAAATTTACCTTTTAGAGTTAAAGTGATGGCTCAGTACTTAACAATGCATAACTCACAATTTTAAAAACAAAATAAAAATTTAAGTTGGGGACACAAACATGATTCTATAGGTCCTCCTGAAGGCCTTCCTATAGTACAGGAAACTTGGTGGAAGGATTAGTGTGGAGGGGGGAGGTGGAGATACAGGAAGGTATTTAAAGACTATCAAAATATATTGCATGAAATTTGCAGAAATTTAATAAAAAGTGAAAAATATTTTCAAAATAAAAAGATCAGATTTTTAAAAAATAATTTCTAAAATACTATAGAATAATATTACATAAATTAAAAGTTTTAAATATTCAATATTTCTGACAATAAGGAAATAATTGTAGCCTATCCAATAGCATTGCCTAGTTTCATAAATAAGAGGAGAAACATTATTTGATGGTAT